TCTGGTTTAAAAAATGACACTCAATACAAAACTCAACCTCCAAAATAATAATGATATCAATAATAATAATCAGGGTTCAGTTTAAAACCGTTAGTGATTTCAAGAGATCTGCCTCACACTACACCATTTGACACAGATGGGACTGGCCACTCATGATACCATGATAAGTTTCAAGCATGTTTTGAGATTTTATTTCAGTTTCCCGATAAATACACTTAAACATGATAATTTGATACATGAAATGAAATATGATTGTTTCTTCTTCTAAATTATCAGTTCTATGCCTTTTCCCTTTAAATTGTTTTAGATCTACATCTAAGATATCACCGAATTAACTTTTCATCTTAAACTAAAATTATATATTAACAATAAACCTTAAAAAAGGGAGGCGGGCGCCAACAAAATGGTTGCAGGAACGAGAAGCCAGGAATCATTTTTACTTGGCCACAGTGTGGAAGAATAGAAAATCAGTAATGCCATCTGAAAAGAATATTTCTTCAAATGGTTCACGCATAATTGATTCTTTGTATAATGTAGTGTAGTAGTGATAATACCCTTTTATTGACACTCGTTTTCATAACTTTTTGAGAATGACATATTTCAATTTATATCGCTTTTGGCTTACAGAATAACTGATACACAATGCCAATCTCTCTCTCCCTCCTTCACCCATCCATTCAGTCATTCTCTTTCTGTTTGTCTGACTCCCGCCCCTTCTTACTCTCTCTCACCTGATAATTTTAATCTCCCTCTTAGCTCCCTTTCTCCCCCTCTTTCTCATTCACATTCACTCACCCATCTCTCTATTACTTAACAGCTCTCTTGCTTTCACCAACTCACTAATTTATTTCTTTTTCGCTTTCCCACTTGCTCATTAGTTTTTTCTCTCTCTTTCTTATTGTTCTTTCTTTTATTCACATCTACTAATTAAACAAACTCACTACCGTTTCTCCTCTCTCTCTCTCTCTCTCTTACTCTCTCTATCTCTCTCTCTCGTTTCTATCTCTCTCTCACCCACTCACTCACAATTAATTCCCATACCCCTCTACCTCTCTCCTCCATTGACGCACACAATCAGTTCGTCTCCGTCTTCATTTACCCCCATGCGTCCACCTTCTTCGCCCAAGCCCCCTCCCAATATTTATATATAATTCTATATAATTACAATTGCAGCGGAATTATCAATGGAAATTGCAATGGTGGCAGTGGATGTGCTCATGTAGGCTGCCCAGAAAAAATATTAATCGATCTCTCACATACACATTGACACACACAAACTCCCACACCCTTCGTTTGTGTGTTTGTGTTTGTGTGTGTGTGTGTGTGCGTGTGAGAGGGGTGGGGGACACCTTTTTTTTATCTGCTAGTGGATATGTATTTGACACATTTGCCCTCCTTTAAAGTTGAAAAGAAAAAAATATTTTACAAATAATTTCTTTAAAAAGAAAAAGATATATGCGCAATAAACCAATAAAACAATATTCATTATTTTCTTTGACTTGTATAAAGGAAAAAGGTAAATATTTGACAAGAACGGAAAACAGAAAACAACTTGATATTACGTATCGGACTAATTGCATAAGAGGAACAAAGCAAACGTTGAGTACGGCAGTTCATCGATCTGAGATGTTTACTAGTCTCAGAACACTTGAACATTTTATACCAAACTTTTTAAATGACTATAATTACTTTATAAGTATCTGTTTAACACGTAATTGATCGCCTAGTAACTCCTTGGTTTCATTTAATCACCAGGTTAATCCGCGCTATGTATTTATTGTATGCCTTTACAGAACGATGGAGACTTTACCGTGTTTACAGGGAGTCGAGATGAATCATCTTTCCGTTGAAATACCTCATACCAGTTACTCAAGACTGTGCATCGCTCTGGGGTATTCCTTTAGTCGGACTCAATCAATTCTCGCGAGTCATCTGAATAAATACAATGGGGCTATGGAGGAAATCCTGAATATGTGGACAAATAAACAAAAAGACAAAAGCCAATCACGATCAATCCTGGCGACGAAGCTTCATGATGTGGAGCTTGGTGGACTGGGAAAAAAATTATCTCGAGGTAAACAGTCGATTGTGTGCTATTGAATGAACAATATCTATATTGTATGACTTCGTTATTAAATTTAAGGTAAATTTGATCAGTCTAGCATTCTAGCTGTATTGTTTGATTCATGAAATTTAAATATTGTTCGTATCTAAATGTAAAAATATGTTTTGATGTTCGAATCCCTCGAGCCATGGATGCATAAATAACATCATAAATTACTATGTAAACATTTCCTGTAGGTGAATATCTTCCACAGCAGCAGGAGCCAAATGAACAAGAGGTGACTCCACCGCAAAGTAGCTCAGGTATGAATGCTTTAAAACAGCGATTATTCTCCTTGGAAGGGGGGGGGGGGTGACTTATACAACAACAATATGCCAACCAGACGATATCTTAGGCATAGCCCCTAGGTTATTTAGAAGAGAAAAAAATATTAACGATATTTTAATGCCCACTTCGAATGACAAAATTATCGATTTGACATATAGGGCATACGATTGTAAAAGTTCAAATGACTTTTCCGAGTTTCCGCCAATATTCCGTTAAAGAGTTTAACTGTTTTTGTCCATGCTTGCAGGCTACTGCAGGTAATGTTTATACATTTTCGTAACAGGTTCATATATTTGAAAATACCGAAAGCAAACATTTACAATTAATTGACGCTATCAAAGTTTTAGAAAAAACTACATTTTCTCATTTTTAGTCATATTGACAGTGAAGTGTGAGTCCGATATTGTGTTACCGTTTGGACCGAGAATGCGTATGACTGCAAAATCCCGGCTAGTTCGCTAGTAAATATGTTATGTTCCTTGTTTAATGTTCAATATAATTTGTTGTCTAAAGCACGGTTAACATGGATATTTGTTTCGCTCATATGTTCAATTAAGGCTCAGACAAAGTTTCCAAAGAACATAAATTACATGGAAACATTTTGGTGAGGAAAAATAATAATCATACGTAATGTTGATTCTCGTTTAGTCATGGGTTGTTTCGTTTCCGCAAGTTACGTAGTTTAACAAATATAATCCATGCATACTTATGAATTCAAATTTATTACCACTAAACAGACATTATTAAAAAATTAAGCTGATTTCTAGTACATCGGGATGAATCTGATAAATTGAAAATATGCATACTGAATTATATTTGTAAATGATTAATGTGTACCACATCGTAATAATTACTTTCACTAAATATTAATTTTACTAAATTCCTAACGAAACATAATATAAAAGAAAAACGCAAAAACATTGGATTACAAAAAAGTTATATTTTGTTACTTGCTTGAATACGAAACAAATGTGTTTTTAAATCGCTGTGTCCTACATCTCAGTGACTTCAATCTTCTTCCTGATCTGAGAAATTCATGAAAACAAAATAAAGGATGATTGCCATTTGTTATGTTTTCTTTGGTTTTTTGAACGATTCTCTTCATACACCCCCAAAGTCCTGCTTTACGCCAGTGATTCTTTCTGCATGTTTGGCTTTTTATGCCTCCGCCACCGAAGGTGGTGCCGGAGGCATCATGTTTTCGGGTTGTCCGTCCGTACGTCCGTACGTCCGTCCCGTTTGACCGTTATCACAATATCTCAAGAACCATTTAAGATTTAAACTTAAGACTCGGGAATAGTATTTATCATAGTTTCATAGTTTCATAGTTTTACAAACTTTTTCAAAAATTCATAACTCTCTTATTAGTTATCCGATTTTGCTCAAACTTTTTTTGATTGGTTTGTCTGATTTTTCTGCTTTTATTGAAAGAAAGTTATTTTTCGAGTGGACTTGTCCTTAAAGTTGGACTTCAATCGGTCCAATTGAAACCAATTGAAATCCCATTAAAGTCTAATGGGGCCAATTGAAACCAATAGAAATCCAACAGGACCAATGCTCAACTAGATAGAAACCAATAAGATCAATATAAACCAACAGGACCGATAGGACCAATAGAAACCGATTAGACCAATAGAACCCAATGGGACCAATAGAAACCAATAGGACAAATGGAAACCAATAGGACCAATATAAACCAATATAAACCAATAGAAACCAACTACAGATCTATGTATCTCGTGCATATTCATTATTACTTTACACGTGTCACAGTAAAATACATTTATCATGATTTGTTAAGCAAATTATGACAATGTACAATCAATTTTGTAATTTCTATTTTCCTTCGGCAATTATTGACCAACATATTACTTGGCCGATCATGTTACAATTACATTCACGTTTTAGCAATAGATATATTGATTATAATATGATTACTAACCAAGAAACAAAATGTATGTTTATTATATATGTGTGTATAGGAGACTAATATATATGTTCAAAAGTTAGTCTTAAATTCACTTCAAATGATCTATGTGATGGAGTTAATGCAATTGAGATTAGAATATACCTAATTGGTGGACAGTTGCCAATATCGATTATGAAGTATCAGTTTATCACTGGGTCTTCTACCTGGATCGATTTACCAATTAAATCCCCATTGAATGCCCCCACTGAATCCCAATTCAATACCAATTGGTAATTTGGAGTAGCCTACATGGAAAGTGAAATAATGGGTACATATTGGAACCAATTGGCAAATGGTCCCGATTGGCACCGATTGGCAATTCGTCCCTATTAAAACCAATTGCCAGTAGGTTTCAATGGGGACCATGCAATTGCCAATTAGTTTCATTAGGTACCCATTGTTTCACTTTCCATGTACTCCAAATTGCCAATTGGTATTCAATTTGGATTCAATGGGGACATTCAATGGGTATTTAATTGAATTTTCGTCTTGGTTATCATTCCAGGTATCTACAATAAGAAGATCTCGGCATCATTGACTGTTGAGCGATGTCGCGAAAAGTTGGAGAATAAGTACCGAAAACAATTGTGCAAAATTCAATTGAAACCGTGGGATCAAAGCAGTTATGCTGAGCTTGAAGATATGCACACGGCTGTTACAATGGTGAAGAAGGACGCTAACGGACAAGACACGAAAAAGAAGGAAATACTCAAGGGTTCTGAAATATTTTCAACGAAAGTAAACGGAGAACTGCCAGCTCGAATCCTCATTTCGGCCCCCGCTGGGAGGGGGAAGACCACGGCTGTCGCTAAGATGGCTCACGATTGGGTTCACAGAAAAAAGGGGTCAGCCTTAGAAGACCTGCCACTTCTGTTTGTTGTGAAATTCCGAAACACAAATCGGCTTACATCGATCGGAGAAGCTATACAAACCCAGCTTTTGAGTGATGTTGATGATCTCACACCAGAGGGTCTGGAGAGTTTCATTAGACAGAATCAGAGCATCTGTCACATCATACTAGACGGCCTAGATGAGTATGCCGGTATCTCTTCTTTAGAACGAAGCTCGGAGAGCAATATTTTCAGTGTCATCCGCTGGGAGGAATTTCCTGAGTGCCGAGTCCTTGTAACAACACGCCCTCACCTAGAAAACATCTTCAATCAAGATGAACTTCCAAGGGTATACACAAAGATGTGGATAGAAGGATTCTCACGAGATAGCTCACGTGAGTACATCGACAAGTTCTTTGCTTCGACTTCGAATAATTATAGCAGACATGGTCATGGTCTAAAGGTTTACCTTGATGAACAACCGCTCATTAATGAACTTGTTAAAACACCTCTATTTTGTCTCATGGTCTGTCATTTATGGAGCGAAGGGCTTTTAAACACTGAAATTGCAACTCAAACAGAATTATTAGACAGCGTGAATGTTTTTTTGATGCACCATGCAAACGTCCGATCAAAGTCAACGGTAAAAATCACACGCAAAAAGTTGAGGAAAACCATTTGTCAATTAGGCAAAGTGGCCCTTAATGGTTTGCTCGACAATGCTAAAAAACTAGTCTTCACGCCTGATGATTTCCGTAAACTTCCCGCAATCCTTGAAAGAGCATGTGAGCTTGGGATAGTATCCAAGACGACTGTTTCATTAACACGCCTTCCCCAGTCCAACGAGACCACTTCCACTACTATTGAGTTTTATCACAAACTCGCACAAGAACACTCGGCTGGGAAATTTCTCGCTGATCAAACAAACCACTTTCTGCTGCGCTTGAAGTTATCTAAGTTAGACAGAGTACTGCTCAAGATCAAAGCAAACATCGGCGACTATGAGAATCTCATCCGATTTGCTGCTGGTACGGACAACAACCTATGTATACGAATAATGGAGAAGGTCCTTGCAAACAGCTTTGTGGATGAGAGCGAGCGATATCGCATTCTCCTTGACTGCTCATCAGAGACCAAGGGTACCGAAGGAAATGTGTCTTCGTTGGTTCAAAGATGTGTGAATGCACAATGTATTGTTCTAAGGGCACCGACTGTCTACACCGTCGTTGGGATGCAAAATCTTCCAAAGCAACTAAAACGTGAGGTATGTACATATTTTTTTTTTTTTTTTAGCAGATGTTTCTGCATTTATTGATAAATAAACATTCAAATAACAATAATAGTATATAATATAATTGATTTACATAAATACACACATAAAAATGCATAATTGAAAGCTTGAAAGTATGGAGTTAAGTACATGTACAACTAATCAAGATAAATGCAGAGGCCAACTATCATAAGCAAGAATGCTTGAGTCGATAGCAGCCGATAACAATAGTTATTTCAGAAAGACTGTATAAAATGTTAATTTCTTTGCCATAACCGGGACCATAACTTAAAATCAAAAGATCAATATATTTGTTTGTTGCTTTCATTTATTATATATTTATAATTACTGACATCGGAGAAAATAAAGTTGTTTAAAAATCACTGATGAATGTAACAAAGTAGGGGAAAAGATTTTCCATTTGTTACTAAATATTTTAAGACAAAATAAGACCGCTGTCTCGATTGTCCTAATATTTACTACAAAAAGCAAGAGATCATCGAATTAACGTTATTTTCTTCTTTATTCAATATGTCTTTAATTCTCTCCTTTTTCAACTCTCTCTCTCTAAACGCCAGGTAAAGACAGTAAAGTTCAAGGGGTGTACTTTAACAACCGACGTGACGAGTGGACTATGGTCCTGCCTCCAATCATTTTCGATGCTACATACTCTCACCATCTCAGACTCCTCTCTCAGTTTTCCTACATCTCCTCCGGAGCTTCCATCATTTACAAAGTTATCCGGCGAGAGAGTGAATTCACTCTGCTACGAAGGTGTGCTCTTATCGGTACCTGATGTGAGAGATATTGATGTATTTATCGATGCTGCAGAGACGAGCAACACCTTTCAGATTACCGCTGCCTCCAGGACTATGGGTCAGGCCAGGGCTAGGGATGAACAGTTATTCGTTCATATCAAACTACACGCATGGCCAGCACTCACCACGGACAGGAAGATTGATTCAGGAGATTCAATTGGAGGGCTAAGTCTTCTATTTGAAGACCAATCCAAAAAACAACAGCGGCTGCATGTGTCCGGGATGAAGGGGAGAGACGAAGAAGCCTTGGTTGACATGTTTGTCAAGACTAAACAACTAACGTACTTAAATTCGGAGTAAGTAGATGTAGATGTAGATGTAGATCTTAGTTTATGGACAGATCTTTGTGTCATGATTGTAGCTGTTTAAGACGACATGAACACAGATTAATATATTAGCATTTTATTATTTGGATATTCTTACTATTATTGATATCGGCATTATCATGATTACATTTCTTATTATCATTACCATTATTATAACAAGAAAATTATCATTACTGCTATAGTTAATACTATTTTCATTTACCTATGTAAAGAGTGGATGTACAATTCACTTGTTTTCTTTATTCATAATATTATTTCCCAAGACTTGCTTGAATCACGTTCTGGCCCTCATTCCTTTTACAACATTTTATGTAGGAGTCGAGGTGGTTCTCTAAAGAAAACGCAAGCCATCCATGTGAGTATACTTTTGTTATACGTGTACATGCATTTCGCTTTGAATTATTGAATAAAGGTGTATCCTCTGAATGGAACTATTAAAGGAAATTGCAACATAGTTGCATTGCTTTTTTATGAAAGAATTCATTCAAGCCTTGTATTATCAGCTTCACTAATATGGATGGAATTCTATAATTATATTTCCACGCGTTAAGTCTCAATATCACAATCGATGCATAAACACGAGACAAGTTCGTCTGATTTCATTTCATTTCAGAATACTAGGCTTCAGATACAGCACTGCCAGCTATCTACTGAGATGACCGAGAAGTTGTGGTCTTGTCTCGGATCCTTCACCTCACTGAAACAGCTCAGCATCTCAGGCTCCTCTCTCAGTTTCCCGCCATCTCCTCCAGAGCTTCCATTCGTCACAAAACTATCAGCCGAGAGAATGACGTCACAAGGTTACGAAGGAGTGCTCTCATTGATACCTGGTGTGAGAGAGATCGATGTCTCAATCGATGCTGTAGAGACGAGCAACACTTTGCAGATCACCTCCACTTCCAGGCCTATGGGTCAGACCAGGCCTAGGGATGAAGAGTTCTTTGTTCATATCAAACTACACGCCTGGCCAGTACTCACCACCGACAGAAAGATTGATTCAGGAGAGTCAATTGGAGGGCTTAGTCTTCTATTTGAGGACCAAACCAAAAACCGACAGCGGCTGCATGTGTCCGGGATGAAGGGGAGAGACGAAGAAACCTTGGTTGGCATGTTTGTCAAGACTAAACAACTAACGTACTTGAATTCGGAGTAAGTAGATGTAGATCTAGATCTTAGTTTATGTACAGATCTCTGTGTTCATGTAGCTTGTTAAGACGACATGAACACAAAATGATATATTACCATTTTATTTTTTGGATATTCCTATTATTATTGATATCATTATCATGATTATATTTGTTTCTTATCATTACTACTATTATAACATGATTATTGTCATTACTAATAGTATAGCTGTTTCATTTGCCTCTGTGAAGAGGGGATGTACAATTCACTTGCTTTCTTTATTAAGAATATCATTTCCCAAGACTTTCTTGAAACACGTTCTGTACCTCATTCTTTTTTAAACATTCTATGTAAGAGTGAAGGTGGTTCTCTAAACGAAAAGTACGCCGTCCAGGTGAGTATACTTTTGTTATACGTGCACATGCATTTCGCTATGAATTATTGAAGAAAAGGATATCCTCTGAATAGAACTATTAAAGTAAATTGCAACACAGTTGCATTTTTTAAAAATAATATAATTCAATCAAGCTTTGTATTGTCAGCATTACTGATATGGAATTCTATTATCTCCACGATTTTTGGTCTCAATACCTTAATCGATGCATATACACGTGACACGTTCGTCCGTTTGCATTTCATTGCAGAATACTAGGTTTCAGATACAGCACTGCCAGCTATCTAAGGAGATGACCGAGAAGTTGTGGTCCTGCCTCAGATCCTTCACCTCACTGAACCATCTCACCATCTCAGACTCCTCTCTCAGTTTCCCTCCATCTCCTCCTGAGCTTCTATCTGCCACAGAGCTATCAGCTAAGAGAGTGACGTCACATAGCTACGAAGGTCTGCTTTCATCGTTGCCTGGCCTGAGAGATATCGATGTCTCTATCGATGTTGCAGAGACGAGCAACCCTCATCAGATCACCACCACCACATCCAGACCTAGTATGAGTCTGACTAGGGCTAGGGATGAACAGTTCTTAGTTCATATCAGACTACACGCCTGGACAGATCTCACCACAGACAGGAAGAGTGAATCAGGAGAGACAATTGGAGGGCTTAGTCTTCTAATTGAAGACAAGACCAAAGACAAACATAGGCTGCATGTGTCCGGAGCGAGGGACAGAGACGAAGAAGCCTTGGTTGACCTGTTTGTCAAGACTAAGCAACTAACGTACTTGAATACGGGGTAAGTAGATCTAGATCTTAATTCATGTACAGATCTTTGTTTTAATGACGACATGGACTCAAAATGATATTTTATAATATATAACTATTGATGTTATTATTATTATAGATAGCATAATTGTTATGGCTAAATGATTATCATATTTTTGTTGTTATTGTTAGTATTATTGTTTCCATAATCGTATTTTTTTTACCTCTGTGCAGATCAAAGGGCACGAACGGTTCTCTTAATTTCTTTATTAATTTAATATATTATTTCCCCAAAATCAATATCATGACATTCTCAAATAACCTCAATTCCTTTTTTTTTCAAATAGCGTATTTAGGAATGGAGATGGTTCTCGAAACGACAGAATCGCCGTCCAAGTGAGTAGAATTTTGCATTACTGGTGCTAGGCAGAAATAACCGTCTGGTATCAGTGGTATTGGTCATGATTTAATACAACTGACATTTGTCAGCCTGTATAGAGTGGTGAAGTGTGACGTCATAAACAAAATATATTTTTCGAATTTCTCAATTTTTTCTTCATTTTCCGAAAGAACATCAAAAATAATGTCCAAGTGTCGAAAACCAATTGAATATGTTAAGTATTGGCTGATATATGACCATCTGAATAAATATATGTCCTATAGGACCTCTGTGTTATTTGCTCTGGCTCCTAATGGTATTCTATAGAGGCGCTCAGAGGAGCCGGATGTAATCTCAGCGGAACAACTGTCGATATCAGAGACTGAAGATTTCGGTCTATACCGGTGCATGCCTTTCGCTTATAAATATTTGGCAAGTTCATATCCTCTGCCTAGAAAGAAACCGCAACAAAATAGCATTGCATGTTTTTAGGAGATATTGTGCATTTAAGCCTATTTACTTTCAACTTCACTGATGTGAAATCTCCCCATATTTAGTGTTAAATATTTATCTCGAAGCCTATGGAAGTGACAAGTCCGTCTGTTTGTATTTCATTACAGAATACTAGGCTTGCGATACAGCAGTGCGAGCTATCTACTGAGATGACCGACAAGTTGTGGTCCTGTCTCAGATCCTTTACCTCACTGAACCATCTCACCATCTCAGACTCCTCTCTCAGTTACTCTCCATCTCCTCCAGAGCTTCCATCCGTCACATCAGCCGAGAGCGTGACGTCACAAAGCTATGCAGGTCTGCTTTCATCGCTTCCTGGCCTGAGACGTATCGATATCACTATCGATGATGCAGAGAGAGACATACCTCAGATCACGGCTTGTCTCCGTCGGACCGGAGGACAGCAGCTCACACACATCGAGCTTACAGCACCAGACTCACTCCCACCAGAGAAGAAGTGTGTATCAAGTGAGACGATGACAGGACTGGGTCTTCTGATAAGAGAACAAACCAAGAACCTACAATGGCTCTGTCTGTCTAGAGTGAAGGGAACAGACAAAGAAGACTTGGTTGAACTCGTCGAGTCTTGCAAACATGTGAAGACGATAAATCATCTAATGTGAGTTTATTGTACAAACCTTTAGTCGGTGAATAATATTAAAAATCATAATGTTGGTAGCCCCAGTAATAATGATGATTGATAACAATAATGATAACATTAATAATTAATAGTTATAATACCTGTAATAACCACTGATGATAACCTGATTGTATTGCTAACAGTATCAAACGTCTTGAACTTTAGATGGTGTTTTTGCTTTAGTTTACAATGGGCAATTTACACCTAGCCTCAAACATAGGGCGCTTAATTTGTATTTGTTGGCATTTATTTAAATATATCTGTTTGATAGGATGTTTACTATTGATTTGATAACTTCGTTCTTGGTTTGAAGAAAAGATTGAGAGTCTATCCGCTGGAACGTAGCAAATTCGCAGAACTCTTCTTCATGGCATTGTATACATGTAGATGAGTCGTGAATTTCTCAAAGCTAGCAAAGGATCTGGATGCCATTATGTTTTATGTGTATCATTTGCACGAACAAATGCGCCGGACATGTACCCAAATAACTTCTTAACGTTCATCTTGCTGTCTTGCATGAGTTCAGCTGTTTTTCTTCCTGTTCATCATATAAGGCCCTACTCTTTTTCTGATTTATTTCAACGACCTTCTAAATTGCTCAAGAATTTGTAATGATTGTTTGAAGGTGAAAAACCTTGTCTTGATTTAGTACAAATAACTGAGAATCTCACATTTAATCAATGGTGTGTTGTCAATAATATAATTATCAACATTAAAGGTAAAGTTGAGTTCTGGTCATGCGATTGCAGTGTGAAAGTAACGTTGTGGAATAGATCAGAAAGGTTGATCATCTAGCATATAAGTATTGGTGTGTACTGCAAGGTTCTTGAATCATCAAAATGATAATAAATTTGGCCCAGTCTTGGTAAAGTTACAAGCACTGTACATAGAAAGGTTGATATGGGACTACACGAACATGTGGCATAAAAATCCGTTCCGATCTCCATGATGTTACATGCCATATGTAAAATATTAAGGCATTTGAAGAGCCATGCTTTTCAGTAAACATTTATTCTCTGATGTTCTTCCACACTTGCATAATACAATAATAACGCTCACAAATTATTGTTTACCTCTTCCCAGAACTCAACCTTCTCTTTAAGAAAAAATAGCTTTATGAGTATGAAGCCAAAACGCATGTCTGTTAATGTCGACGGGTCAGTCTATATAAACGATAATTTTAAGAAAGAAGTAGGCCTATATGTTGCTTCGTTCGTTGGGATTCATATTAATGTATGCATTTCCTCTGCATAGAAGTTGGAAATATGTACGGAGTGCGACATTTTGTTCTTATCAGGTTATTTCTGTTACTACATCATTCATTTATCAAAACATAAAGGCGTATATCACATAGTCTTTGAGTGTATGAATGCACATTTTGTTGGAAGCGTAAATCATGTGTTATGCAAACACATCCCGAATTTCCATTTATCTTTGTGTACGGAATTTAAACTTCATTTATTATGTTGCAGGCTTCTCGGCTGTGGTACAAACGCACACGGTAGACTAAGAAGCCGCATCACTGGTCTTAACAAGTCAGAGAAGTCACTCAGGGTGATTGCCTTGCATGTAAGTTACCTTCTATTAAAGTATATCGATTGCTACATGAATGCAAGGGTTTCTAGGACAATTGATCCCCCCCCCCGGACAAATACCCCCCGAAAAAAATAAATTATCAGGTGAAGTTCCCCTGTAATGAAATAGCTGTTTGTAGAAATATAGTGGCATCACTTGTATTGTTATATTATATTGAATGAAGGTGCTGCATGTACATGTAAACTACAAGATTATAAAATAATGCTTCCGATGACCCAACATTAACAAAAGATTTGAAATAAATTGAAATTAACATTAAAAGAAACCGTGAATGACCGGTAAGTTCGGAGCCATCCACCAACCCACTGCTCCGGCGTATATTGAAATAGAGAGGGGTAAAATTTTTGCCCCCCCCCCTCCCCCCCCCCCCAAAAAAAAAGCAGTAAAGGAGTAAAGATTCTTTGAAATTTTAACCCAAAAGAACATAACAATAATGAAAACCTGAATAAAATGACGTATACAATTCCATAAAAAAAGGAAATTTAACAGGATTTTAATTTCCTAACCATTGCGCATGCTACCTATATTTATCAATAGAGGTTTTTATAATAGCGATACGCGCATATCGTGGACATATGGTGAGAGAATGGGAAAGCATGTCTGTTTTTTGTTAAAGGGGTAGGAAGCTCATGAGCCCCTGAATGCTACCGTACGGATGGGGGGGGGGGGGGGGGGTTATTCGATACCAGTGATTTACAAATGTTTCTGAAATGACATGATTTTCCAGTATTTTTTCTCAATCTTTTTGTAAGTCATACCTTAATATGCGTTTGTTGGAAAATTAGAAATTCCCAAATTTACAGACGGGCGAAAAATATGCTTAGTTAGAAGCCTTTATGTCAGGGTCTGCAGAAAGAAAGAGAGAGAAAAGAAATAAGTGACCTGCTGATGTCACAAATGAGGTATCCAAATTATGCTCATCTGACCGTAATTAAATGCCTAAAAACCCAAGGCTTACGGGGGCTCGGCCCCCGGACCCCACCAAGGACCCTAAGGCGGTCTCCTGGATGCTCATCTGACCGTTATTAAATACCTAAAACCCCCGAGCTTCCGGGGGCTCTGCCCACTGGACCCCACCAAGGGCCCTAAGGCGGTCCCCTGTATATTCATCTGACCGTAATTAAATACCTAAAAACCCCAAGCTTCCGTGGGCTCTGCCCCCTGGACTCCACCAAGGGCCCTAAGGCGGGGCCCTGGATGCTCATCTGACCGTTATTAAAAACCTAAAACAAAAGAGCTTAATGGGTCCTCGCCCCTGAACCCCACCAAGGGCATTAAGGCGGTCCCCTGTATGCTCATCTGACCGTTATTAAATACCTAAAGACCCCGAGCTTCCGGGGGATCTGCTGCCTGGACTTTCAGCCAATTAGTCGCCTGCAAGTGTCACAAATAGGGTATCTAAAAATGCTTAGTCTCAGGCCCTGGAACCCACACCAAATAATGCTCTACCTGATCGTTAATAATCCACTTTAAGAAACGTTGAGCGAGGCCTGCATGTAACGTATAAGAGTGGTGGTGATGCAAATTTTTCTTCTGACCCCCTCCCCCTTCCAAACGTTTTTGCCTGTTATGTCACTGCCTATGGAAGGTGAGCCCCCCGGAATGTTTGCCCCCCCCCCCCCCCCAATTCAAAACTGCGTCCGGCGCGCCTGATCCACGTCATCATCTTATTAACAATATTTGTGGACCTGATAAGTACATATTAAACTCATAAATAACATAATCAACAAATGTAATGTGGTTTGGTGAAGTGGAGATAAAACGTATGTAAATGGTCTTCACACTTATTGTGCGCCCTTTTCAGCGCGTTTGAGAAAGGTCTGTTTGTATTATGGATGTCACTCACTTATGTGATAACAAAGATTGTGTATTCATGGATGTATTTAGAATGTGAATTTTAAAATCGCATCGAATAAACGGGCGGCTGCTAGTCGTCGGGCAAGCAATAACTAATTATATTTTACAGTGTAGAAGTGTGTTTAATGTGTTTAGTATGTACGTACATTTCTAGCTCTTGCATAAGGATTGATGAAGTGAATGGATTAGGAAAATGTTGAAGAAGTTGTACAAAAGACCATCCGTTAATTGAGGGGGAGGGGGAAGGGATCCTCCTAAAGGACAGGTATAACCCTAATGTAATATAATAGTATGCCTTTATTTTTAACCTGTGAATTCTAACTAAATACGTAATATAACTTAATATACCAAGGTTCCTTCCTTTAAATTGTACCCATTTCCAATATCTATTGTTTATCATATGGCTAACATATCAAATCACTTTATAATTACAGGATAATGGTCAACTCTTCGTTGAGAAATGCCAGCTATCTACCGAGATGACCGATAAGTTGTGGTCCTGTCTCAGATCCTTCACCTCACTGAACCATCTCACCATCTCAGACTCCTCTCTCAGTTTCCCTCCATCTCCTCCTGAGCTTCCATCCGTCACAAAGCTATTATCTGAGAGTATGACGTCTAAAAGCTATGGAGGTCTGCTCTCATCGCTTCCTGGCTTGAGAGATATCGATATCACTATCGATGATGCAGAGAGAGACATACCTCAGATCACGGCTGGTCTTCGTCGGACCGGAGGACAGCAGCTCACACACATCAAGCTTACGGCACCGTGCTCACTCCCATCAGAGAAGAACATTGTATCGAGAGAGACGATGAGAGGACTCGGTCATCTGATTAGAAAACGAACCAAATGCCTACAGTGGCTTTGTCTGTCCAGAGTGAAGGGCACAGACGAGAAAGACTTGGTTGAATTCGTCGAGTGTTGCAAACATGTGAAGACGATGAATCATGTATTGTGAGTTTATTGTACATATCTTTAGTCAGTCAATAACATTATTACTAACTAGACATGTAATACTTGTTTGGAACAAGTACAGGTGGACAGTTCCAACTTATTTGAGACAAAATGGAGCAAAAATAAGCGAGATACTGTTTAGAAAAAATGTTAAATAGATTCATGATGTGATCAAAGTTCACCCCCCTCCCCCTTCCGCCAACCTTATAATGACATCGTAGATGAAGTGAATTTCTAAAATCCAGCAAGAGGTCTGAATGCCGTTATGTTTAATATGTGTATCGGTTTCACTAAGAAAATCGGCCGGAAATATACCAAAACTAATTTTTAACGATCATCTTGTTTTCTTTCATGTTTTTTCAGCTTATTTATTTTGTTTCTGTTCATTATATATTAAGGCCCTATTTTTTTCTGATCTATATGACCCCCTAAATTTCTCAATAATTGATTGTTTGCAGCTGAATAGACCATTATTTTTAACCGCGAAAATCTTGTTTGGATTTTGTAGTAGTAACTGAGAAAATCTCATTAAATCAGTGAATTGATGCCAATAATACAATTGTCAACATTATGAAAAAAATAACATTATTAGTATGAAGCCGAAACGCATGTCTTTTTATGTAGAAGGGTAAGTCTATATGAACGAACATAATAAGAAATGCATTTAGCTTCGTTCGTTGGGGTTCGTATTCATATGCATTTCACTTGGGTAGATCATATGCACTCTGCGTGTATTGTACTCCGCATAGCAGTAGAAAATCTGTACGGAGTACAACATTTTGTTCTGATCAGGCTATTTCTGTAACTACATCATTTATTTATCAAAACATATAAGCCTATATCACATGGTCTTTGAGTGTATTTTGTTGCAAGCATAAATCATGTGCTATGCAAAGACATCACGAATGGACTTTTTATAAAGGGAAATGGGCATCTGTTCATGTAAAATGGTCACTTTAATCAGTTCTCATACCTAGAAAGAATAGGAATACTTATCAGAGTGAGAAGAGCTTTTATGAGAAGGGGAGAGGGGGAACTTATTAGAAAGAAAAGAGGGACTTATCTGTAAAAAAAAAAAGTGAAACAGAAAGGGCACTTTTAAAAGGGGGCTCTTTGGGGGAACTCGAACGCAGGGGCACCATGCCTCCTCCCTCTAGCTGGATCGCCGCCTCTTTTGCCTGTTTGAATACAATAAAAAAAAAAAGTATATTAATAATAAGAGTGACACCTCGTGGTAGACTTGCCGACCGATGGTACGTAGTCGCAGAAGAATAGGGCGCTCAAGCTAGGAACCGAAGACCGAAATCGGTCTCCTGCGCGCCCTATTTATGTTGCCATTTATTTTTTCATACCTCATACCGTTAACCCAAGCAATGGCAGTTCAACTTTTGTCGGGTTGATTTTATACATTCCAGCTCTACATAAATAAAATTCAGGTGATCAGTACACTTTAACCAAACATGCACTCATCTACAAATGGATGCAATAAACATCTTCTTTCCATTTCTCTTTGTGTACGCAATTTAAACTTTATTTATTATGGTGCAGGCTTCTCGGCTGTGGTACAAACGCACACGGTAGACTAAGAAGCCGCATCACTGGTCTTAACAAGTCAGAGAAGTCACTCAGGGTGATTGCCTTGCATGTAAGTTACCTTCTAAGTATATCGATTGCTACATGAATGCAAGGGTTTTTAAGACAATTGTCCCCCCCCCCCCGGACAAATACCCCCCCCCGAAAAAAATAAATTATCAGTGTGAACTTCCCCTGTAATGAAAAGGGGGTAATTTTCCCGGGAAGGGGGAGGGGGTAATTGTCCTCCGGGGTAATTGTCTTTGTTGTCATAGGGGGGGGGGGGGTAAGTATCCTAGCGGCATATTTTCAGATATACGGGGTAATTGTCCAAAAGGGTAATTTGTCGGGTAGTAAATGTCCTCGGGGGGGGGGGATGTTGTCCTTGGGGGTAATTTACCAGGGATGATTGTCCAGGGGGTAATTGTCCTGATACTATAAAAGCAAATATATCATTAAACAGTGTAACATGAATTCATTTAAATATATAGTATGTGTATAGCTGTTTGTAGAAATATAGTGGCATCCTTTGGATTGTTATATTACATTGGATGAAGGTGCTGCATGTACATGTAAACTACAAGATTATAAAATAATGCTTCCGATGACCCTACATTAACAAAAGATTTGAAATAAATTGAAATTAACATTAAAAGAAACCGTGAATGACAGGTAAGTTCGGAGCCATCCACCAACCCACCGCTCCGGCATATCATGAAATAGAGAGACAGGTTGCCTGTGTAAATAAAACAAAGTTATTGATTTTGTTTATCGCCATGTTTATTGATATTACTTCAAAAACGAAAAGTATAGTGCAAATTCGAATTGTAGAAATAATAAACTCACAAGAAAATGGTTTCAATTCAGGAATTTGTTTACTTAAAATGACATTTTTTCTGTATTTGTTTTTCTTTTGTTTTTCATGAGTGTTAGAAATGAATTATTTATTTGTTAGTTTTCTGTTAACTCAACAGCTCAACAATACTTGTATCTTGAAAAGCCAATTTTATTTTATTTATGTTATTATGTAAATTACCTTGAATATATATTTTAGTATGTGTTTCAAATGAAAATCAATAAAATCCCTGTGGATGGAAAAATATGAAGAAAAAAAAATAAATTATTAATATTATCTGTACCGTTTTTATTTACAGTAGGCTTACCCCATCAGTTAACAATCTGTTATTCATGAGCGCTCTGTACAATAAAAACAGCGTTTATTATAAAAATAAAACACAGCAGTGAGGGCATTAGAAAGAATAACCTACACAAGGTATCTTTGGAATAGTCTAACACGCCCGAGGCGATAGCCGAGGGTGCTTTGACTGTTTGCAGGTACCGAGTGTGGGTAATTTTACTAATGCCCGAACAAAATGATGTGTATTATTTGTTTTATAAGATTATGTTTTATTTGTTATATGAAATGATGTTTTATAACATGGTTTTACTAATGCCGGCCATTAGAATTGGATAATGACCGGTCATTATCCAAATTACGCGTTAGGCAAAATAAATGCATGGTCACGTGTACACTTTCAACCAATCATTTGATAAGGATCCACGTCATAGGCGCCGGAAGTGGGGGAAGGAGGGGGGGGGGGCGTCAAAACGCAATTTTGCTCACCCCTCCCCCTCCAAAAAAAAGCCCCCCCCCCCCTCCCAAAAAAAAGCAGTACAGGAGTAAAGATGGTTTGTATTTTTAACCCAAAAGAACATAACAATAATAAAAACCTGAATTACATGACATATACAATTCCATAAAAAAAGGAAAGTTAACAGGAATTAAATTTCCTAAACAATGCGCATGCTACCTATATTTATCAATGAAGGTTTTTATAATAGCGATACGCGCATATCGTGGACATATGGTGAGAGAAAGGGAAAGCATGTCTGTTTTTGTTAAAGGGGTAAGAAGCTCATGAGCCCCTGAACGCTGGCGTGCGGATGGGGGGGGGGGGGGGTATTCGATACCAGTGATTTACAAATGTTGCTGAAATGACATGATCTTCCAGGATTTTTTCTCAATCTTTTTGTAAGTTATACCTTTTTATGCGTTTGTTGGAAAATTAGAAATTTCCAAATTTACAGTCGGACGAAAAATATGCTTATTTAGAAGCCTTTATGTCAGGGTCTGCAGAAAGGCCGCGCTCGGGGGCTCTAGCCCCCCTCTCTTTTTGAAAAAGTTTGATACAGAGAAAAAGAAAGAAAGAGAGAGAGAAAAAAAATTGAGCTGCCAATGTCACAAATGAGGTATCCAAATAAACTCATCTGACCGTAATTAAATGCCTAAAAAGCCAAAGCTTACGGGACCTCCGCCCCCAGACCCCACCAAGGGAACTAAGGCGGTCCCCTGTCTGCTTATCTGACCGTAAAGAAATACCTAAAACCCCCGAGCTTCCGGAGGCTCTGCCCCCTGAACCCCACAAAGGGCCCTAAGGAGGGTCCCTGTATGCTCATCTGACCGTTATTAAATACATAACCCCCCCCCCCCCCGAGCCCTCCGGGGGCTCTGCCCCCTGGACCCCACCAAGGGCCCTAAGACGGGGCCTTGGATGCTCATCTGACCGTTATCAAATACCTAAAACCCCCGAGCTTCCAGGGTTTCTGCCCCCTGGACCCCTCCAAGGGCCTTAAGGTGGGGCCCTGGATGCTCATCTGACCGTAATAAAATACCTTAAACAAAAGAGCTTAAGGGGGCTCCGCCCCCGGACCCCACCAAGGTCCCTAAGGCGGTCCCCTGTATGCTCATATGATCGTAATTTAATATCTGAAAACCTCGATCTTCCGGGGGCTCTGCCCCCTGGACCCCACCAAGGGCCCTAAGGCGGGCCCCTGGATTCTCATCTAACCGTTATTAAATACCTAAATTCCCCGAGCTTCCGGGGGCTCTGCTCCTTGGATTTTCAGCCAATAATTAGTGGCCTGCCAGTGTCACAAATAGGGTATCTAAATATGCATATCTGACCATAATTTTAATGCCTAAAACCCCTGAGCTTCTGGGGGCTCAGGCCCTGGAACCCACACAAATTTATGCTCTACCTCATCGTTAATAATCCAATTTGAAAAACATTCAGCGAGGCCTGCATGTAACGTGTAAGAGTGGTGGTTATGCAGATTTTTCTTCTGACCCCCCCCCCCCTTTTCCAAACGTTTTTGCCCGTTACGTAACTGCCCATGGAAGGTGAGCCCCCCCCCCTGAATGTTTGCCACCCCCCCCCTCCAAATCCCAAACTGCGTCCGGCGCGCCTGATCCACGTCATCATCTTATAAACAATATTTGTGGACCTGATAAGTACATATTGAACTCATAAATAGCATAATAAACAAATATAATGTGGTTTGGTGAAGTGGAGAGAAAACGTAATGTAAAAGGTCTTCACACTTATTTTGCGCCCTTTTCGGCGCGTTTGAGAAAGCTCGGTTTGTATCATGGATGTCACTCACTTATGTGATAACAAAGATTGTGTATTCATGGATGTATTTAGAATGTGAATTTTGAAATCGCATCGAATAAACGGGCGGCTCCTGGTCGTCGGGCAAGCAATAACTAATTTTTTTACAGTGTAGAAGTGTGTTTAATGTGTTTAGTATGTACGTACATTTCTAGCTCTTGCATAAGGATTGAAGGAGTGAATGGATTAGGAAAATGTTGAAGAAGTTGTACAAAAGACCACCCGTTTCTTGAGGGGGAGGGGGAAGGGATTCTCCTAAAGGACAGGTATAACCCTAATGTAATATAATAGTGTGCCTTTATTTTTAACCTGTGAATTCTAACTAAATACGTAATATAACTTAATATACCAAGGTTCCTTCCTTTAAATTGTACCCATTTCCAATATCTATTGTTTATCATATGGCTAACATATCAAATCACTTTATAATTACAGGATAATG